AAAATAATTAGCAAGGTAGGAAAATTTCACTTGCAGCCTTCTATTTAAAAAATAAGATTTAGGACTTTAAACACTTCCAGATAGAGGCTTGCAGTGTGTGAAAGGATGAAGGGAAAAGGGAAAGGAGGAAAGAGGAAGACAAGGAGGAGGATGACATGCTGACTTACCTTTGACGTTACAATCCAACACAACATCAAACTGATCATCTAGCAGCACCAGAGGCAAATGCAGGCAGGAAAGAAGGTTACATTTCTTCTGACTGTGCAGGTATTCAGCTCCATCTAGCTATATGAAGCACTTTGAGATATTTGCAAGAATCTAACTGTATGTAAATATCATAGATGAGGTATGACAGTCACAAAAATTCTCTTTATAGAGTCTGTTGTCCCCTCAGTCTATGTGTATAACGCTCATTGGTGTTAATGTTTCAAGGTGTTGTCCTTTGGTGGGCAAATATACAGTATTTCTCTCTCAATAGTAGTCAATCCATGACACAATCATAACGAAAACAGACATTCTCTTTGCACATTCACATAAGAGAATAACTACTTAGTAAAGATTAATTTTGCTTTTGTCATGAAGACTGGATTTCCACATTCCTCAGTTTACTAATTCTACTTAAAAAGAGTTTCAATGAGACTTTTCTTTGTCTATAAATCATGTATGTTCCCCCCTGAATTATTTTTCCTGTCAACACTAGGAAACTCAGGTTGTTTAAGCAGCAGAATAGTTTCAGTAATAAAGTGTCCAAATATAACTTCTTTCACTCAGATGGTGATGTTTACCTTGGCAATTAAAAACCTTATTAAGAGTTTATAAACAAAATAAATATCTCAATGATTTAAAGTCTCCTAAAGGAGACTTTTCTCATAATAAATCTTATTCTATGGGAGGGAATGCTCTAGAAAGCTCTCAAGGATGAATCTTGTTGGCATGAGAAAACTAATTATGTGCCAGATCTTTGGCTGGTGTAAGTCAGCATAGCTCTGTTAAGTCAACAGAGCTACACCAATTTATACCAGCTGAGGCACTCGCCCAAATGGTGTCTATTTAAATTTTTTGAGATTTATCTGTTAACATGTTATCTAAGCAATAAATTATCAGTCTTGCTCATGGAAGAAAGAAAACATAACCTCCCAGAGCAGACATCAATCATTCATGAGTCAGGAACACATGCACTTCAAAATACATTAAAAGATCAATAACTCTGACATAAAAGATAATGATGAAGTGTAGTAACACATTTGTAGGTAACACACATAAATCAGAGACTCAAATAGTTCTCAATTAGCCAAATTATAAGCAACATATTTCATTAGTCATGTCCCACCCTTTGATGATTCTCAACAGATATTTAGAATTCAGATCTCATTCTCCACTCTCTCTCCTGAAAGTTGTGATTTAGTTGAAATCATTTCTAGAAAGATATTCTCTTAATGATAATTCTTTTATCATTTGGTTTAAACCCCAAACTGGATTTGTCAGTTATCCAAAGCCATGAAATATACTCTCTGAGGCGGATTCCCATTTGCATTAAGGCCTCCTTGACACTGCCATTTACTCCCACTTTAAGTCCTCTTTACACTGCCAGAGAATCAGGCCTTGTATGTTTTTTGGTGTATATCTTTTGTATTTCACAATTTGTAAGCGCTATTCTGTTACCATTACTCACATTGATAGTACCGTACTCCTGAATAGTCCCATTAAAATCAATGTAACTATTTGTATGTCATGGGATTATTCAATCTGAGTTAACAATTTTGACTCATCAGAAATAACGGAGTCTTACGCAGTCCTGCATAATTACTTTTTGCTAGAGATGCTTTGGCTCTCTTTGACAAAAATAAAATGTCATGACACATTTTGATCGTTCAAACACTGATGGACTCCATTTAAATTTAATTCATTATAATCTTCAGGGTCCTTCAGGAGGAAAGCATTTTTCTAATGGATGTTGTTTCTGCTTGTAACAAGTATGATAGTGCAGGTGATATAACAATGATGAGGGTAGTGTGGGGGAATGTTGTGGAACAGAGTACAGAATGCAGAGACAGCTGAGTGTATGAATCTGATGATATCAGAATAGCCATTTGGAATAGATAGGGCCCTATCAAATTCACAGTTCATTTCATTGTCATAGGATTTTAATAATCATAAATTTCATGATTTTAGCTATTTCAATCAGAAATTTCATAGCATTGTAATTGTAGGGGTCCTGACCCAAAAAGGAGTTGTAGGGGGGGGGTCGCAAGGTTATTGTAGCGGGGGTATTGCCACCCTTACTTCTGCGCTGCTGTCTGCAGAGCTGGGCCATTAGTCAGCAGCCGCCGCTCTTAGGCTGCCCAGCTCTGAAGGCAGCACAGAAGTAAGGGTGGCAATTCCGCAACCCCCCTGCAACTCCCTTTTGGGTCAGGACCCCCAACTTGAGAAACATTGGTCTCCCCTGTGAAATCTGTATAGTATAGGGTAAAAGCATACAAAAGACGAGATTTCATGGGGGAAGACCAGATTTCACAATCCGTGATGCGTTTTTCATGGCTGTGAATTTGGTAGGGCCCTAGGAATAGGTATTGTGGTTGGTGCATGGTTTTCTGAAATGAGCTGATGGAAAAGGTATGAGGATGCAAAAATGAAGCTGCTATTTGTGGGAATATTATGCTGTTTGTTTCAATCTCTCTTGGGCTGTATGCTTAAAATCAATGTGATAAGTGCCTCTTGGAATAAACAATTTCGGATGGCATGTATTAATCTGATAGCCTGTTTTGTTAACTAGCTTTTGATAGTTATATTTAGTGTTGTTCTATTTTCTGCTTAAGATGATGTTTTTAGTTGTGAAATCTGGAGTGCATGCTGTACTCTGTGAATGAATATTATACAGCATAGATGAATCCCTGGAAAAATTCAGGGTGGGTGGAACTATGTGATCAGAAGTAGCACCTTCTCATTTCCCTTTTAATCTCTTCTCTTCCTGTTTTTCCTTCCCTCCCCTAGTGCTTTTCAAACTGCTCAGTTCATTGTTAAGTGGTGGGATTGTGACATTAGAGGTAACTCAGCCCTCTCTTCTCTCCCTCCCATTTTTCTCTGCTGCTGCCCTGCCATCAGGTCACAGTTAATGGTGGGATTGGGGCATTAGTGGTAAATAGGTAACATGGGAGTATTATCTTTTACGGAGCCTTCTACTTTATTGTGCAATTTTCAGTTGTTATCGTGATCCCTCTGGTAGACAAGTTTGATTGAAAATGAATTGGCAGCTTGAGGCTCCAACACACCATACACTCCACATGAGACATCTACTGACACTGACTTGTTATGTAGGGTTATTTAATTTACCATTTAACCTAACTAGTGAGCTCCAAAATCACATGGCCCAAAAGTGCAACTAAAACTAGCTTTAGGGATTTCCAATCACAGATAATTCCTTTCTCTGTTTTCCTTTTTTACTTTAGTCCAGTGTTTCCCACACTTGGGACGCCACTTGTGTAGGGAAAGCCCCTGTTGGGCCGGGCCAGTTTGTTTACCTGCCCCGTCCGCAGGTCCGGCCGATCGCGGCTCCCACTGGCCGCAGTTCGCTGCTCCAGGCCAATGGGAGCTGCTGGAAATTTTTTATTTCACTTTGATTCAGTTTTTTCTTCTTAGTATTCACTGCTAGCCCAATTTTTCTGCAGGTCTTCACTCTGTTCTTTGAATGTCTAGTTTCCTGAGGTTGAAATGTATTTTTATCTAGTAATTTACATACACTTTTGCACTTCCAGGTCTTGTCACTGTGTCTGCGATTCTTGTGCAGCCTTTCATGAAGTTCACTTATTCACCAAGTAACATTTTATATTTTGGTAACCTCTCATTAGCTTGTACCTGAACCAGTGCTGGAATTGAGCTAGCAGATATAGGAGGACCTACTTTCATTTAGTCTGTCCTCTAAAGGGGAGAAAGGCTAGCATAATTCCAGTGCACACTACACAAAGCAAATTAAGAAATTCTGACCATTCATTCTTGTTTAATGAGTCTTCTCTTTGCCAATGGTTCATTCAATCAAATCTGAAGAAGTATTTTTTAATAAATACTTCAAGAGACAGAAAGCACCCACTAGTTCCTGTAATACTGTTCTATACAATCTGGCTGCATTTTGTATATAAACTGTGGTTGAGATTAAATGAAGGTGATTCTGAATCACATTTAAACTAAGCTCCTTTATCCTGCTAGCGAGGTGTGGAGAAGCTCCGTGTAAATGACAATTAGGCCCAATGTGTCTAAATCCCTTAGATGACTTTGAAAATCTTAACCTGTATATTATAATTTCTTGCAAATCATATCCCAAAATTACTATGGTTAAATAGTACAAGACATAATGCAGTATATACACCCAATAACAAAAATAAAGAACTGAGGAGGGATAGATTCAGGAAATTTATTGAAGAGTTCTGGAGCTGCAGATCAAAAGGCCATAACACCAGCTGTGATGAGATTGTGGAAAGTAGGGAGGTGACCAGTGCTGTTATGAGAAATGGTGAAAGATGTATTGAAATACACAGGGAAAAAGGAATGAGGAAAAGAGAAAGGGCAAGATACCAGAGAAGTAGAGAGAGGTATTGAGTTATTGTTACAGATTAGGGAAATAATAGCATGAAAGAAGGAAGCCAATGCTTGGCAGAGAAAAGAATGTGAAGAAAGAGTGACAGAAGAATGTGGGTGGGTGACAGATTAACATTTAGCAGACTGACAGCTATATTCATCCTCCCTATTCTGTACTAGGGATGCGGTAAGTATTCTTTCTTCCTGTGCTATTGTGGCCTATGCAGTGCTATTTAAATGGTAACATCCTTCATAACTACAGAACAAAATAATTTGTTTCCCTTTCACACTCAGGAAGTGTTCTAGGTGCAAGGTACCTGTGATGACAATCCTATTTCTCTTGTTATACACTCATAGAATATTTGAGATGTGTTTCCCATAGATAAAACTATTTGAAATGATCTCGTTTCAATTTCTTATACAGGCGCCATCATTGCCCTCATAAATCCACAAGGATTTATGATACTGGAGGACAACCTTCCCTCATGACGGAATACGAGGACAAATATCTCCAGTATGGCAATGTCCCTCCACGCCAGAGTCTTAAGCCAAAGGAGGAGTACCACGCACATCATGGAAGAATGGAAGGAATCACTACATTTAAGTAAATATTTTGAAACCATGTGTTTTGGAGCTGATGTTATTCTACAGTGTCCTCATATTTTTTCATTTAGGGAAGACAGCTCTGTTTATTGGAATCATTTTCCATTGTGAAATAATTTGATTATTCATTCTCTTCAAGGATATATATGCATAAAGTTTGAGTATAGATAGCACAAGTCAATCATGTTTTAGGGTTGGCAGATGACATGCAAAGGAATTTTTTTGTTGTTGTTGTCTTTTGGGGATTCATTTTTATCTCTAAAGAAGATCTGAAAGGCAGGGCCGGCTCCAGGCACCAGCGGAGGAAGCACGTGCCTGGGGCGGCACATGCTAAGAGGCGGCATTCTGTCTATTCTTGGGGCGGCACAGTCCGGGCGGCTTTTTTTTGCTTCAGCAGTTCGGGGGTAGTCCGAGCGGCTTTTTTTGCTTGGGGCGGCAAAAATGGTAGAGCCGGCCCTGCTGAAAGGTAAATTGCTGTCAGGTTTGAAAAAGGGATTCCACCACCTTACTAAGTACAAAGAATATACCATATGTCAGACACCAAATATCTGTTGAATGATTGTTTTCTCATTGTTCATCCTGTGATGTTGATGATGCTGATCCTAAATCAGCAATTCCTTTCAAAGAGTTAACATTTTAGTCCTTCCACAATTGATACAATGTAGTTTTTGTTAAGTTTCTATATATGGGGGAAAATGTCACAAATGTCTCAGTCAGAAAAAGGTAACATTGTGAAGCAGTACTGCATGTTTCTCTTTTTCAGGTCTGATTATCTTCCATACGATGTTGTAAATCGACCTCTTCGGGTACAAGAAGAGTATAAACCAAAACCCGGAGAGATTGATCTTGGAACTACATACAGGAGAGATTATAATCCTCATAAAATACAACCAGTGATATTAGTAAGACCTTTAGAAAGAAAACACATTAAGGGAGGAAAATTAGACACCATACCAACCTATCAAGGTAATTACATATGCCATTTTTAAAGAGAGAAACAGCCACAATGATGGTAGTATTCTGAACTGCCATAGTGGAGTTGAGGTTTGATTTCTGACTTTGGTCTCTCACTCTCTGGCCCAATAGGTGACAGTAGTGAAGAGGGAATACCCTGTGTTTCTCAGCAATGGATTCTATTAATTTAAGAATTAACATTAATAGGCTCTGAAAGAGAAGCCCTCTCCAGGTTTTCCCAACTGGAAGGAGGGCAGCTGTTAGACTGTGGCAGAAATATAGGAAACCAGCTAAGGGAAGGAGAAAGAAACTTTGGGTTCTAATGCTAGTTATAATCCAAGCACATCTTCAAGATACATTTGGAGAAAATTGTAATTCCTTTGGTAAGAAAGATTATTAAACAATGTCAAACATAAACATGTTAATATTATTATGGACACAATGTGCCAAGAGTCTCGCTTTCCTGCTTTGCTGCTGGACTTAATTGAAGCTTTGGATATCAATAATATTTAACAATGCTTTGTGAAGAACCATAATTTGGTACAACCCAGGTGTTTTCAGACTCGGCATGGTGATGGGCACCTTCTGAATCCAGTCTTTAGAATGGGACTGGAGCTTGCTGGAAGGACAATATACCTTATTTTAAGACCATCACCGTCTCCATTATGAGGTCCAAGCATACTTTAGCTTCAATTGTGGTGGAGTTCACAATTACTGTTTTTCTACATAGACTGATGAAACAAACTTGATTTCAGATTCGTCTTTACTATATACTTGGTATAGCATTCTGCTGATGATCTGTTTCAACAAGATGATCTTCTGTTACTCATTGATGCAACAGTTCCTAAACTGCCTTCCTGCAGATTATCCTGACAGGTTACCTTGGTATACAAATAATCTTTTACATATGCGATGTTGTACTTAATAATTTGATTGTAGCACATCTGCTCTGCAATCCAGATTAAAAATATCTGAATGTGGAGTATGAGCTATGACCTATTAGAACTGCCTGCATGAAAGACAAGAGATGCTCTGATGGTAAAGACCAAGGCCACTGGATTAGAAGGGAAAGATACTTAAGATGCTGAAGATCAGGTGAGGCCACTGAGGGTAGGAAGTTAGAAGAACTGGGGTAGAGTAGGTAGAAGCGAAGAGCGCGTAGTGGCAAAAGTAGAGGTAGTAGAAAGAATTGGGCAGCATTGGGCCTGGGGGGAAAGAACATCTTTGATAACAATATTATTATTCACCAGCTTCTGTACTCTTGTAGTTTAAGATGTTACCAGCATCCATCACTAAAATTATAGTCCATAATTCAGTCACCTTTTGTTTATATGTATTTCATCCACAGTCCTGAGATAAAATGTAGACTTTTGCAGACATATCCTCTATACAAATATTTGTATGCAATAGAAAACAGAAATCAAATATGTACATAGAAAATATTTATATTTTCTAAAAGAAATAATCATCTTGTGGTACTAAGTGGCATTTTATTGGCTGTTTGGTGCATTCCCATAGTAGCAAGTAAGCAGAACTCCTGTATCTAATAGTAAAACAGAATTATCTTTGTTACTCAAACTCAACTCTTTTGATCTAAAGGGTTGGTGGGGGAAGAAATTAGATTTTTTTTTAATATGGGACAGCCACAAATCAATAATAAAACCTATAATCTTTCTATCAAGTATTGTTTTTGTCTTAAAGATGACTATAGATCATGGGAAGTTCAAAGAAGGGAGCCAAATAAATTGGACCACACCTATCATCCTCCTACAGAAAAGTTTGGGAATTCTACTACATTTCAAGATGACTTTGTTCCTAGGGAGCTGAACCCCAGACAAAGCTTTAAGCCTCCAGGTGTGGCCAAACTTTCAGATGTACCTTTTGATGGTGTTACTAATCATCGCAGTTCTTACATCGCTCATCAACTGGAACCAAAATTTGTAAGACCAAAGGAAGAATACAAGCCAAGCAGCCAACCCTTTGAAGATCTCACAACCCACCGGAATGATTTTAAAGGGCTACTTGGAGAGTTTACAAAAAGCTGCAAGCCTGAATACACTAAAGTTGGGTCTAATGGTCACTTTGATGGATGCACTGAATTCCAGGATCGTTTTCAACCATGGTCAGTCTCCTTGCCTGAGGCTCGCAAGATAAGAGATTATGTTCCTCCTCCAGGTAATATGGATTTACACTCCACAAGCCATCTTGATTATGTTCCGCACGTGATCTGTCCTGTTGCCCCCATAAGACCAGTTTCTTATGGAAGAAGAAGTAAGGTCCCTTTCCAGGGGAACACCACAATGAAGGAAGACTTTCAAGCTTGGGCCAGCTGTCGGCAAGAAATTATTAAAAGACATCAGGAAATTCCAAAACCTACTGGAAAATTTGATGGATTGACCACATTCAAGTCTCACTATATACCACATGAGATAATTCCAGTTCAGAGTTTCAAACCTCTGCGTGTTGTAGTCCCTAGTTCAGCTCGTTTTGAAGATGGAACCATGTATCGTACAGAGTATACTCCAAAGAAACAAGAGATCTGCCCAGCAAACTATCCATCTCCTCCAGGATACGTCTTTGTAAACACAGATTCTCGTGGACACAAGTTCTTCCGCAGAGTTATTCCAGAAATCAATACATTTTCCCAGTCAAATGGTAATCATATTCCAAAAGAAGTAGCTGTTACTTCCTAACTTTTAATTTTAGTAGTTTACATACTTTAAAAAATATTTAGAAGCCATAGCTTAATTTTTTCCAGGCTAAGCCTCAATGACAGTTGGCAAGTACAAGTGATTAATGTAATTTTAAAATTGATTTAAAAATCAGCTTAAAAAAAACTGGGAATGACTTTATTACAAGATTGATGAAGATTAAGCAGCCTTAAGATGCATCTGTACATTTTGTGTGGAATCTGTTCTCTCTAATTGTGCATCTTACAATTACTGTGCTTTTCAGTTTTCACTGTCTTCCAGCCCAAGCACATACTGTGTACATTTAAATGAGATTATGACTTGCTGGAAATCATTTTGGAATCATTGAATCTGTACAGTAGCAATTAGATGTCTTAAATGTAGCTTGAGCCCTATTTAATTCTCACTGCACAGCAAATGAAACTATAATAATCTAAATGAGTAGACCCTGCCCGCACTACTTTTGAAACGTTGTTTTAACATGGCTTCTGTGACCAGTATGGAAAAGGATTTTTTCCTCTGGAAATCTTGATAGCCAAACTGCATTACAAACTAGTCTCCCACGTAGCCTATAACATAATCATAAAATCGACTTCAGAAAACAAATACCCTTTTTATGCTGGTCCAGGAAACTATGCTAGGACACTGCTAACAATAGTCTTTAACTTTGCTATTATTAATACAGTTTAAGCCTATTATGGCCAGATCCTAATGGTGAGATTCTAACTTCTGATGCATGGTGCATATTGACCATGTAATAAAAAAGATAATCTGCTAACTTTTGCATACAAATGCAATAGCAGATTTTTTTCTGAGACACAAATCAGAGCTGGTTTGACTTTGGTCCTTAGTTTCCCAGCTAAAGAATTTTAACGTTTCAAATAAGTAGATGGAATGAATGATTTATTAAGATAATGTGTGTGTTCATATAGGAGATGTTAAGCGTTATTTCAAAGTATTCTTATCTCAGTTTCAGTCAACGTGTGCAGGATTTATAGTGATCCCTTCTTACAATACTTATTTAATAATATGTTGTCTTATCACTTTCAGTATGAGGAGTATCAGTAACTTATCAATATATTATCTTTTACTCATTACTATAGGAAAGCCATTTTAGCTTTGAAGTGTCATGTATTTGTATGTATACCAAATCACCAATAAAAGGACTGAAATCAAGTACAGTATGATGTTGAAAGCAGGAACTGAATCACATGAGCTCCCCTCAGAAACGTAGAGAGACCTGGACTGCTGGAAATGCTTGTTTTGTGTAACTGTTACATGAGGCTCCTGCTGTTATTACAAGAGTGGTTGTTTTAAAATTTTCTTATTTCTCTTTGTGATACGTCAATTTGCTTTACTCTAATTGAAAAATCAGGTTAATAAATTTTTTTTTTAAAGTTCATACATGTTTTCCAGTTTGTAACGAGGTGTTTTGGATTGGATTTTTCATTAAATGTTTAAGGCTGGACTAGCCTGAGCAAGTAGCACCATATAGCAGTACTGTCCCAGGAGCGGGGCAGGGACTGAATTCTGATTTAGTTGCAATTACGTCCCTAGGAGGTACTTAAGTGCTTTGCTTCCCTGACCGGCCACTTCCCTGAATCAGTGTCTGACCACTGAGTCCTTTTCATTTTTATTTAGCAGATCTCAAATTTCTTAGCCCCATTGTAGACCTATTGTCCCGATATGCACCTATTGTCTACTGACTCTACCAGCTACTCACAGATACAAAAATGTAATGATAAATACTGAGGGGAAACAGAAGAGCAAACTCAAACAGGTGTAATAGAGTTTGAAGCAGGTATATTTGGAGATCAGGTATTTTGGGGGATTTTTTCTCTCTCTCTCTTATGGTCCTGAATACTACCTGTAAACTCATTATTTTAAGGATGGAGTGCCTAGGGGGGGACCCCTACCCATATCAACCCTAACCCTAGAGTGGGGACCCCTACCCATAGGAACTCTAACTCTAAGGCAGGGATCCGTACCCATAGGAACCCTAACCCTAGGGAGGGGATCCCTATCCACAGGAGCCATAGCCCCAATTCCCCTACCCATAGGAACATTAAACTTAGGGCGGGACCCCTACACATAGGAACCCTAACCCTAGAGCAGGGACCCCTACACCCACAGGAACCCTAACCCTATCCCCAATTCCCCTACCCATATGAATCTTAAGCCTAGCCCCAAATTCCGTACCCATAGGAACTCTAGCCCTAAGGCAGGGACCTCTACCCATAGGAAACTTAAGCCTAGCCCCAAATCCTATACCCACACAAACCCTAATCCTACAGTGGGGCCCCTACCCTTAGGAGTCCTAACCCAAGCCCCAAGTCCCTTATCCATAGGAACCTTAAGCCTAGGGACTGGACCCCATCCATAGGAACCTTAAACCTAGCCCCAAATCCCCTAAAATAGGAACCCTAACCCAAGGGCGGGGACCCATACCCATAGAAGCTATAACACTAGTGCGGGGACCCACTACCAATAGGAACCCCCAGTATCATTTGCAACCTCCAGATCTTGCTCACTGCCTACTGCAGACCCCTTGGGCCTCAGCTCACCCCACTGAGTGCAGTCTGAGCTCAGAGAAGAGTGTTTGTGCCGCAGGCAGGGCAGAGGAGAGACTGGACTGTCCCTCTGCACACCAATGCCCTGACACTAATTGGTAACTGAAATGTAAACAAACATTTTCTGTGATGGGGATGTCATGTTGGATTATGAACTAAATTCTCTGCCTGCTCTCTTCTGGGTGGGGTTTTTTATGGTCATAAAGGTAGAAACAAAATTCAGAATATATTTTCTTAATATAGTTGACTTAATATATTAACCACAGTTGCCAACTTTCACATGGTAAATAAGCACCCGACTTTCACAGTAAGCCAAAAATCAAGCTAATCCCATTTCAAAACAAGGCCAAAACAAGCCAATTTTAAAGAACCCCAACACTCTAGGTGACTAGATCCCCCTGGCGTGCAGTCTGGGACTGTGGTGGGCCCGCTTTGCATCCCTGACTCTCTCTACCCCTTGCCCCTGCTTGCTAGGAGCTGATCCAAAAAAAAAAAAAAAAAAGCAACAAGCTGCAACAAGCTACAAGCCAAAAAACTAGCCAACAAGCAACTCACAAGCCAATTAAGCCAAAAACAAGCCAAATTTCTGTGGGTTTTTTTGCGGATTTGGCACGTCTGATATCAACACGTTAGTGTTGAGGGAGGGATAGCTCAGTGGTTTGAGCATTGGCCTACTAAACCCAGGGTTGTGAGTTCAATGCTTGAGGGGGGCCATTTAGGCATCTGGGGCAAGCAAGCAAACAAACAAAAACTGTCAGGGACAGTACTTGGTCCTGCTAGTGAAGGCAGGGGACTGGACTCAATGACCTTTCAAGGTCCCTTCCAGTTCTATGAGATAGGTATATATATATATATTAGTGCCTTGTTTTGTTAATCTTGAGATAGCTGGTATCAAATGTAAATTATATTATCTTATAGTCATCACATCATTTTGTCATGGCTTACTAATACTCTACTAAACATGAAAAATGGTGAAACTGTAAGCATGCAGTTTTATGTTTGATGTGCTAGCTGCAGCAGTTAGTGCTCTTCCCAGGGTGGTGCTAATTGAACCAATGGAAATTTACAGAGATGGCCTTGCAGAATTGGATGTTACACAAGCTGGTCAAAATACCTACGTTAACTTTAGCTCCACTGAAAACAGAAAAATTGTAATTAAACATCCACCTTGGGTTTATGCAAATACTATCGCACAGATCAGATCAAATCAAACAATAAAATCTCACCATCATTTTCACTATGTTACCAGGCTCTAATTTAATTATAAATCAATGAGGCGATTACATGAAATCAGGAAAAGCTCAATACAGTTGTACATTGAAATAGAAAGAATAGGAAAGTTGAGTGTTAAAAGGCTGCCGTGTGCTAACCAGGGGTAGTCAATAGGCAGACTGCAGGCCAAATCCAGACTGCCAGACACTTTTGAACAGACCCCGACATCTTTTTATCATCATCATTTTTTTAATTATTGTTTTCTCTGGCGTCTGGATCTCGACGATACCTTGACCAAGAAATGTGGACCTTGACAAAAAATAATTGACTACCCCGTTGCTAACTGTGCTCCTTTTCTGAGCCAGAGCCCGACTGCTGTGCCCCAATTGGGCAGGCAGGCAGGCTCTGCGTCAGCTCCTCCCAGCCGGGCTCAGCAGGCAGCAGGTGAGCCCCGGGAGAGAGGGAGTGGAGAGCGAGTTACAGAGGGAGGGAGGACAGGAGTGCACCGGGGCGGGGCCTCGGGGGCACAGGCAGGGCCTCAGGGAAGGGGGTGGGGCAAGGCTGTTTGGTTTTCAGCAATTAGAAAGTTGGCAACCCTATGCCTTTCTGCTGTTACTATTGAAAATACTGGAGGTGATGCTTCTAGGAATAACAACATCAAAAACACAGCAGCCCCACAGTGCTGCAGATAGTTTTGGTATTATAAAGATTCCTACAGCAACAGACATTTTCAAGTTTTCATGTCAATTCTTCTCTATACAAATTGGTATTAAAAATGTCAGAATAAATAGGTTGGAATACTAATATTCCCAGTGAAATATCCTTCTTGACCGTTAAAATCAAGATTTTACAGTGCCCCAGTATTCAAAGATGAAAAAGCAGAAAAATTACTGAAACAGGCTCAATCACAATTCTAAGACATTTTATACACCAGGCCACCAAAATGGTCTGTATAATGGTCATGCAGAATTCCTTATCTCTAAAGGATACTCAGAAAAAGAGCGAGTTGGCAGCACAGAAAGGATACTGTAAAATAGGATTCCATGTATAGTATTTCATGATTAACATCTAGGATTACTCTTCAAACACCATTATTTCCTCAGCAGAGCAGGGAACAGCGGAAGGGCTGTACTCCACATTTACATGCAATCCTGATTCTGGAACTGGTTCAGTGCTCATTGCAATTTACAACAGCCTCAGATGTGTTCTAATTCATACTCA